AAAAAAAAAAAAAATCCTACCCTCCAAGGAAACACTTGGCTTTACCCTCTCCAAGAGAGACCTATTTGTTTTCTTGGCAGTCTATGGTATGTTCAAGACTCTTCTCCAGCACCACAGCTCAAAGGCATCTATTCTTCTCTGTCATCCTTAGTCATAACATGATAGCTTCTCAAAATATTTTTTTCATTTCCCATCTTCTCTGATCATTTTTGAAATTTCAGAGTTTAATCTGAACTTCAAAGTCGCCTTCCATGTGCCCATCTAGATTCTAGGTTTCAGGCTCCAAGACCTGAGAGTTCCTTTGATCAGTAGGTGGGCAGTTGCTCTCAAGTCTCAAGTGACTTTCCCACTCTATACTGGCAGGTTCATGAGGACACATATCACATGCAACAAGGCCTGCAGACGCGAGTGCAGGCTTGCAATACATTCAGGAGAGACCAGAGGTCCATATACCTCCAGAGGGCACAGCGCCAGGAGCTGGAGCAGAGGCTGAAGCAGGCAGAAGCCTGGTTGCTGCAGCTGGGACAAGTTGCCCGCCTCGTAGACTACATGATCTGCGAGACCCTCATGTCCATCGTGGAGGAGGAGATAACCTCTTTTGTGACCAACATCCTACAAGTGAGGTGATGGGTGGCATGTGTGGAGGGAGGGGGGCAAGCAGTCACATGGTGGTCTGTGTGAAAGGGTCCATTGCTGAATGAATACTGAACTACTTACCTGATGGTATCTCCCGATGCTTCTTCTTCTTCTTATTATTATTATTAATTTAAATGAACATCTACAGAGATTTTGGAATTCCATTCATTCATTGTTGCACTTTTATCCCCACCCACTCACCCCCACCCCCACCTCCAGTTCGCTCCTCTCCTTGAAAAGCAAAATAAAAACTCCTTCATTGGTATACAACCCCCTCCCCGACCCCGCACATCCCCACCCCCACCCCAAGTATACTCCACTCTGCAACCCTCATTCCGGACTCTTATGATAATCATAATGCCCTAAAATACATTATTTTAAACTATTCTACAGGCTCCAAGGCAGAAACCTTTTCTCACAGCACAGCTGATCTTTGATGATTTGGGTCAACTAACTCACAAACCTTCTGTTGAAAAGATAGCCCAGACTCTAACTGGGGGCCTACAGTTCATCAAGGCCTCTGTCCTGCAGGTATTCTGGAGAGGGCTGGGGATTGACTGTAGGATTTTCTCGTTCCTATTCTCTGTGTAACCTTATTGCTTTAAGTTGGAACCCACTCATGGCTGACCCTCCATTGGGTTTCCAACATTGAAAAGTGCATGAGAAGAGATTGCCCATCTTTCTCCAGAGGAGCTGCTGGTGGATTTGAACCAGCAGAGAAGCATGCATTTGGGTTAGCAGTGCAACTTCCTATGCAATACACAGCCAGAGCATGTTGCCAGCAGGTGCCAGTCCCTAGAAAAAGGCATCATGCTGGGAAAGTAGAGTGTCAGTGAAAAATAGAAAGACTTTCAGTGAGACGGATTGACACAGTAACTGCAGCAATGGACTTGAGTATGGCGGAGATCATGAGGACGGCACAGGAGAGGGTAAGGTTTCAATCTGTTGTTCTTAGGGTGACTTAGTCGTCATTGACTCAATGGCACCTGACAACAGTGTCCTCTGTGTAAGGGAGCTCTGGTGGCCTGGTCCATAGGACAGTTGTGTCAGTAATCTAAAGGCCATTCCTCTCTGGAGGCAACTCTGCAGAAGAAAGAGGGCTAATCACTTCCCCATGGGATGTGCAACCTCAAACCCAAAGAAGGGTCTGCCAGGAGTCAGTTCTGAGCTGAAGCCAATGAATGAGTAAGTTAGTAATCCTTAGCTCTCAGCCTGATTGGAATTGCTCAATTGTTTTCCTTTCTCCATATCTTGGCATGAAGGTGATAAAATCTACAGACCTCCAGATTTCCTGGGACTCCCTGTATTCTCCAGGTACTTAAGGAAGCCTGGGCATCCAGCAGGCTGGAAGGGGTACGGGCACATGGGAGGTGTAGCATGCCGATGGTATGGAAGGAAAGCAGGAGGTTCAGGCTCTAAGCCAGGAGTTAGCGCTTGAGTGTGGAAGGAACAGCTTTAACCTGGGTAGCACACACTCACATTCTTGGGACTGGGGGTTGGGGAATGAATGCTTTCTCACTTCCTTATTTGTGTATGTGTGCATGCACCTGAGGGGAAAGAGGGGCTAATGATAGTGTGGATATATTGTCCTTCCCTGTTGATCTAAAATGCCATCCAGTTTTTCTCTAATGTCGTATGTATTTCATCTATGTTGAATCCGATTGCTAGGCTAATCTGTACTTATTTGAAGAAAATGACTTGCTCAATATTTGCTTTGTTTCATAAAACTCTTTTTTCACTTTATTAAGAGGAATTCCTTAGTATTACTGAGTTTTAGGATTACCAGTATGACTGGTTATCAAGTTTCAAACATGTTCATCACCAGGGAGAAAATATAACTTCACATTTTCTTTACTTGAAATATTGACATTGTCACAAATGAAATAATTTCATACACTCCATCACATTTGATATGTACGTGCTTTGTTTTTCCCCCATTCCCCTTGTTTGTTTTCAGTAAGATGATTTAATGACACAAGTGAGTTTCAGGAAATAGATGACAAAACAGGGAAGAGGTCTGCTAAAAGGAACTCATCTTACAAATCATACCATTTGGGGCATATTTTACCCCTAAGTGAATCTAGGTTGATGGAGACATTTGTTTTGCAAGTACAGTGAAAAGAGACTAGAGTTTCAGATGCAATTTGATTAACATTTCAACTGTATGCACCTAGGTGAATTTAGTTACTTAACCTGCAAAATGGAAATGACAGCAAATACCTAATTTACAGGGCTGTTTCAAGAACAAAGGGGGTGCTGTATCTAATGTATGGGACGCTGAACAGAATCACACAATGGGAGTTGTTGTTAGATGCCGTCAAGTGGCCTATTACTTATAGCAGCTCTGTGAACAGCAGATCTGAACCTTGACCTATCCTGCACCATTCTGGTCTCTGTCCTGCTCAAGCCCACTGTGGTAGTCCTGTGCCAGCCCATCTCATTGCGTGGCTTCCTCCCAGCTGATTGTATCTTCCTTTTCTTTTTAAACGTCAGTTAATCAGGCATTCCTTACTCTTTTCTCATCTTTCTCATTACAGTGAACGTGAAAATATTTTCTTGAGACGCTTCAGTTTTCCCTTCAATTTTAGAAAACACAACATATATCGATGCATTTAGGAGTGGAATGCCATGCTGCTTGCACCTTTTCAAATGTTTAAAGGATGTTGTTGTTGTTGTTGTTATGTGCTGTTAAGTCTCTTGCAACTCATAGGGACCCTATGTATAACAGCCCTAAACCCTGCTCTGTCCTGTGCCAATCGCACTGCCTCCGACACACCCATCCTGATTACCCCAGTCACTGAATCAATCCACCTCATAGAGGTCTTCCCCTCCTGCGCTGTCCCTCCACCCTCCCAAGCATAATGTCCCTCTCCAAAGACCTGTCCCTCCTTGCAACATGCCCAAAGTATGTCAGACGAAGCCCCAGAATCCTTGCCTCCAAGGACCTGTCCGGTTTAACCCTCTCCAGGATGAATCTGTTTGTTTTCTTAGCAGTCAATACACCTCAGTACATTCAATACTCTTCTCCAGCACCACAGCTAGTCGTTGTCCAACTCTCTGATGCATAACAAGTGATTGTAAAGACGATGGCCTGTATCAGATGCACCTTAAAAGGATAAGAAAAGATAAATGAATAAGCAGATAAAACAATATGGATGAATGTCAATAATTTTTCACCTACATAGAAGAAGAATAATGTTCACGGAAACATTACTAAAGCCTTTCTATGTTTGAAATCTTTCTAAAACACAAGTTTGAAGGGAAAAATAAAACAAACCTCTGCATGAAAAAAAATCAAACTAATATTATGAAGGACCCAAAATAAATTCTGATTTAGAATGTTCCTGAAGTTCTTTAAGAAAAATTGAATAACTATCCTTGAAAGTAAACAAATAGTAATTCAAACACTATCAGGGTTGTATTCTCTCTCCATACCTATTCAATATGTATGGTGAGCAAATTATCCAAGAAGCTGGACTCGAAGAGAAGGAGTGCAGCATCAGGATTGGAGGGAGACTCATCAATAAATTGTGTTACGCAGATGACCTTGCCTGCTGAAAGTGAGAAGGGCTTGAAGCACTTGTTGCAGAAGATCAAGGAATGCAGCCTTCGTTATAGATTGCATCTCAAATGTCAGGAAAACAAAATTCTTACCAGTGGAGCGATAGGCTGTGTCATAATGGATGGAGAGGAGATTGAGACCATCAGCAGCTTCATCTTGCTTGGATCCACAATTAACACCCTTGGTACCAGCAGTCAGGAAATAAGGAGATGCACTGCACTGGGAAATCTGCAGTTAGAGAAGTTTCCAAATTACTGAGGAGTAGTGATGTCACTTTGAGGACTAAGGAGCATCTGATTCCTCTACAAGGAATAGCACCTCTGAGCAACATGTCCAAAGTATGTGAGGCGAAACCTCATCATTCTTGCCTCCAAAGAGCATTCTGGTTTCACCCTCTCCAAGACATCTGTTTCTTCTCCTGTCTGTCCATGGCATGTTCAGTGTTTTTCCTAGTCACCATGGCTCAAAGATGTCAATTCTTTTTCTGTCATCCTTATTCATTGTTCAGGTCTCGGATGCATAGCTAGTAATAAAAAAAGACTATGGCCTGAATCAGACATATCGTAGTCCTCAAACTGGCATCACTATTCTTCACTAATTTGGAAAGGTCCGTAACTGCAATTTTCCCCATTGCAATGTATCTCCTTATTTCCTGACTGCTAGAATCAAGGGTGTTTTGGAGCTTACAAAATGGAAAACCACCAATATTCACAGATAGAAAAGCTATGGCAGCACCAAGCTTAACAGAAATTGGAAAGGTTAGGAAGAGTACACCAATATTTCAGTTGCTGCTTATTCTACTCAATCTACTATTTTCTGTACATTTCCCCAATTCCCCCTTAACTAACTATCTTGCTTCTCCTCTACTTTTACTTCTTTATTTGTTGGTTTTATACTTGGTTCTATGACATCAATTCCATTCTCGACTCTGGGTAATGTTTCTTTAACATTTCCTGTGTGCAGTACTGACTTAGCTCAAATTCTCACAAGGAGTCTCTTTTTTTCGGCCTATCCTATAGGTTTGGATCATGTATTTAGATTTATGGCTGGGGGTGGGGGTGGTGGATAGATAATGATGTAAGTTAACTAGTGTAGCCTGAGGCAGTGGCAGATCCTTTTAGAAAAATGTGTACGCTTCAGGAGGCTGTAATGTTTGGTCGTGCTTGCGCTGACGCTGAATGTGTATTATGGGAACCTGAATGTGAATGTTGATGTGGGGTTACATAATCCAATCTCAGAACTAGGTAAGCATAAAAGGAAATTTATTTTCTTATGTAACTGGGAAATCTTTGGATACAATTGGATTCTGGCTCAGCTGGAGTCAGGGTTCAGGTAAGGTTAACAGGGATTTGGGATTTTTTTTTTTCTCTTCCTTTGTATCTTGACTTATCTGCTTGGATTTTAAATCACTGAGAATGCTTTGGAAGTAAAACCTGACAATGGCCTAAACAAAACAACTACCTCACATAACAAGAAGTCTATAGATAGATGCTGCCAGAGTTAACTCAGTGGCTCAAAAACTACCAGGTGCCACTCTCTTGATACCCTTCCTCCTGCCTCCTTTCAGATGAGGGCAGATCCTTCTAGAAGGATGTACAGGGTGGGAGAGGCTGTAGCCACAAGTTGTTGTTCATTCTTAGGTTTATCGCCTCATAGTCGCCAGCTCATAAGCTGCCGTGTCAAGTATCTTATTCTCAAGCAGAATTAGGGGATGAAGGGGAGCCAAGTTGGCAAGGGAGCTTTTCTTCGCCTGGTTCTCATTTTTCACCAGGAAAGGAATTTCTTTCCCCCCAGGAACTTCCCAGCACATTTGCTTTTATATTTTATTGACATTCTAGGTTATACGATGCCATGAGCAGCAAGAAAACTTAGGCAATCAAATGGTTGGCATCGTAAACTTCTCACAGAAGATGAGTTCTTCCAAAATTTTCCCCAATTAGATGATGTTGTTGTTGTTGTTATGTGCCATCGAGTTGTTTGCGACTCATAGCGATCCTATGTACAACAGCCCCAAACCGTGCTCTATCCTGTGCCAATCTCATTGCCTCTGACACACCCATCCCGATTACCCCAGTCACTGAATCAATCC